GTTAGTTGTCACCACTTAAAGATTGATCATAAATATAACCTCTCATTGATAGAAACGAGGGCCATCAACCTAGAAAGGTATAAGGCCCTGAAGGATAAAGTAAATAAGTTGATTGACAATCATTTTATCTAAAAATCAACTTATCCAAAGTGCCCTATCCTTATTAAAAAACATCATGGCAAGTTGAGGGTATGCGTAGATTTTTCCAATCTTAATCAAGCTTGCCCCAAAGATATTTTTTCACATCCACGAATAGATCGACTCGTTGATTCTATTTCCAGGCACAAACTACTGAGCTTAATGGATGCTTATTCAGGCTATAATCAAATCTTAATGTACCTAGGTGATAAAGATCACACTTCCTTATAACGAACAAATGTCTCATAGCTATAAGATGATGCCATTTGGGTTAAAAACGATAGAGCCACATATTAGAGACTTGTTAATAAGATATTCACATACCTCATTAGAAAGACAAAGGATCATGTGGAGCACCTCAACAAAGTCTTTCGAATACTGCGAAGGTACAAAATGAGGTTGAACCCTCTCAAGTGTGCATTCGGGTTGTCTCAGGGAAATTTTTGTGCTACATGGTTATCCAAAGGGGCATAGAGTCCAATCCTGAAAAGATAAAGCCCTAATCAAAATGTGGTCGCCCAAGAAGCCTAAAAAGGTACCAAGCTTCACTAGGCATATAGCAGCCTAGAGCCGCTTCATCTCTAGGGCAACTGATAAGTGCATCCCATTCTTCAAGGTTCTCAAGGGAGGCAAGAAGTTTCAATGGACGGAAGAATGTGAAGTAGCCTTGTAAGAGCTAAAAAAGCACTTGGGACATGCTCTCCTCCTTTCCAAACCTAATATTGATGAGCCTTTGCAACTATACTTGGAAGTTACCATCGATGCTAGTAGCTCGATACTTGTGAGTGGGAAAGGTGATCACCAAATGTCTGTTCATTATGTAAGTAAAGTACTCTTGGCAGCAGAGACCCGCTATGCAGACATGGAGAAGTTAGCTCTCTCTTTGGTGACCGCGTCCCGAAAATTGAGGCCATACTTCCAGGCCCACACCATATAAGTGCTAACCAACTTCCACTCAAGCAAGTGCTCTCCAAAGAGTTTTAGAACTTAGTGAGTCAACATTGTGTTTAAGACAAGAGCTGCTCTCAAAGGCCAAACCTTAGCAGATTTCGTGACAGAGTTCGGTCATATTCCAGAAATGGAACCTACGAACCTCCCACCTAGAACCTGTTTGTTGATAGTTCATTTGGAGACATAAGATCTGGGAGAATAGTGGTCTTAGTTAGCCCAGAAGTACATAAGCTTAATTATGCTGTGAGCTTCGAATTTACAGCTATCAACAATGCAGCAAAATTGGCTAAGGAGATGCAAGTGAAGAGGCTATTTATCAGCAGTAACTCCCAGTTGGTAGTAAGCCAGGTTAATGGTAGTTTCTTTGCCACGGTTAAGAGCATGGCTGCATATCTGAAGTTGGTGATGGAACTTGTTCCTTTCTTTGAAAAGTTAAAGTTGGCACAAATCCCGTATGTGGAAAATACCATGACATCTCTCTTTTGAAACTTGCAAGCAGCATATATTCCAAACTACTTACCGTTGTGCCTATAGAACACTTCCTCAGACCCTCCACTTCCAAAGGTGAAGATGTGATGTAGGTCGAAGATACCCCTCCATGGATGCAACCTATCATAGCATTCCTGAAGGACCAAGCGTTACCATCTGACAAAAAGGAGGCGCGGAAGCTAAGAAGACAAGCTGCAAATTTTGTTTTTCAGGATGATGTACTATACAAGTGAGGTTTTTCCCTATCCTCATTCGATGTATAAGTAGAGTGCAGCCCACCTACGTGCTCCAAGAAATTCATAAAGGGATTTATGGTAATCATATAAGAGGATGAGAAATGGCACAGAAAGTGTTGAGGCAAGGATACTACATGCCTACAATGAAAAACGACTCACAACAGTTTGTTAAAAGGTATGACAAATGTTAGCGCTGAGCAACAATACAAAGACAACCTTCCTAGGAACTAAGTGTTGTTTCCAGCCCTTGGCCTTTTGCCAAATAGGGAATTGATCTTATTGGACATCTACCTAAAGAAAGAGGTAGTGCCAGCTTTGCTATCGTCAACATTGACTATTTTACTAAGTGGATAGAAACTGAACCCCTGGCCAAAATTACAGAAGCTAATACTTCCAATTTCTTATCAAAAAACATTATTTGCAGGTTGGGATCCCCCCATTCAATTGCATCTGATAGTGGGATGGTAGTTTGATACTAAGAAGGTGAGGGACTTATGCGAGGAATTAGGGATCAAAAAGCATTTCTCGTTCCCTATCATTGTTAGGCTAATGGGCATGTAGAAGTTGTCAATAAAACCATCAAGTGTACCCTCAAAAGAAAGTTGGATGCTTCCAAAGGGGCTTGTGTGCACAAAATATCTCAGGTTCTATGGGCTATCTAAACCACTAATAGGATGGCTATAGGAGAAAATCCTGTATCCATGGTTTATGGAGCAGAGACTATGAGCCCGGTTGAAGTAGGTCTACCATCTCTTCATCACATAAAGTTCAATGAAATATCTAGTGAAGAGTCGATAATGTGTGAACTTGATTTCCTTGATCAAAGAATAATGAATCCCAAGTGAAGTCAACTACATACCAATGAAAGATGACCAGGTACTGCAATTTTAAGGTCAAGAAAAAGTCATTTCGTGTAAATGACCTTGTATAGCGAAGAGTATTCTTATCCTTTAAAGAGCTATGAGTGAGGACTCTTGGTCCCAATTGGCAGGGTCCCTACCGCATTAGAGAAGAGGTTCGACCTAGAACCTATATGATCGAAAGTTTGGGTGGTAAGGTGCGGCCTCATCCTTGGAATGCAGAACCCCTAAACAAATACTATTAGCAAAAGTGTAAATACTTAGTTCGTGTACAGTTTCTTTAATTCAATAAAAGTAGCCTTATCAAAATTAGTGAAAGAAAAGAAAAGTAACTCCCAATGACAAAGGTCCTAGATGAAATCTCTACCTGATGAGCCTTCACCAGGCAGGGAAGTGTGAGCACCTTGACGAAGAGATGGATGCCAAAATGGACCATCTCCTTACTTGCCGGGGTGGATAGCACATGCCCCCAATGACAAAAGGTATGAATGAAGCCTTAGCATGGATGAGCCATTCGACCCCATGCTCAGGATAAAGTAGAAAAGACAAAAAGCATATGAACTTCCAATGCTTGTACAAATTTTTAACAGGTAAAGGTTGAAGCACATCAAAAAGTAGTGACGTATGCAAAATTCAGTAAATATTCAGAAAATTAACACAAGTATGAGAAAATAAATTTCATTTATAGAAGCTTATTACATTAGGGGGCCGAAGCCATTTACAATGGAGTAATAAAAAAGAAATTACAAAAACCTAAGCTAAGTAGGTGGCCGAGGAGGATTGGTGCCAGAAAAGGGAATAATAGCTTTGGGGCAAACTGTTTCAGAAGCCATATTGTCGTCCCGAGTCTTATCATTTTCTAATTCAATTACGTATATGCCATCCACCGGAGTTTGAGGCTCCACTCCTTGTAAAAACTCTGGCCTCAGTATCGAGGTGTCGAATGCTTAGGATTGCACCTCAATCTATTCCACAAATTCAGTGTCTGCATACCTTCACCAATATTTTGCAAAACGTTGATATTCCCCTGTTAAATGGAAGTTAGCAATGTACCGCTTAGCAGCAGACTGGGTTTTCTCCTTCGTCACCTCTAAATCTTCTATCAAATCAGAGACTTTAGAGCCAAGCTCTCCCACCTACTATTTTAAGGCAACATTCTCCTTATTGAGCATTTCCAATACCTCAGCAGCTATTTTCTAATGGGT